CAACGGTTTATGAAACAGACGCTGGAAAATAGAGCAGAGGGCTTCCAACCAGCTCGGCCTGATGCCATTATTTACTTATTAATTTCAGAGCGAAAGAACAGCATGGGTGGGAGCGGGAAAGACCCAGGTTTGGGAAAAGTCATGGCTGAGTCGGTCAAGCTCTGTCCAGCTGCCTTCTCTCCAGTTGCGAGACCTGTGACCTCTCCCCACATTGTAAAAGCAGAACAGCATTGATGAGAGCCGTGAGCTCCACCACCAGCTACGTCCCTTAGGCCTGTCTGCTTCTATGGGAATTAGTCTTATCATAACTCTTATCATCAGGGGCTGAGGTCTGAGATGTGAACTGCGGCCGTTCCCTGAGCCTTGAGTACTGGGCCGGAAAGGTTGTTGCCACAGCAGCTCAGAGAGGCTAGGAAGACCTGGTTACCCCGGACAGGCCCACCCAGAGGCAGGCCGGATGAAAACACTATGGGCCCAGCTCAGCCAAAGCACAGCCTCCACTGCTGAAGAACGGCCACAGCGAGGGGTCGTTGTCCCAGCCTGAGTCAGGGGCCAGGTCACAAGACGCAGGCTATGTGTGACAGTGGAGAAGGAATTCTCTGCAGGTCCTGAGATGTGCACTTTTCCCAAGAACCCAAATGCTGGAGAGGAAGGGGGTGGGGCCAGGGGACGAAGCACTTATTTCTTTTGAAAGAGGAAGACACCATTTCTATTAGTTGTTTCTCCAAAGTTATGAAATTATAGAAACTCTTAACAGTAAGCTTTTCTTAAAAGGATCTTGTAAAGATACCAGAGCAAGAGTTTGACACTTCCAGTACTTCATTATTATTATTATGAACTATAAAGTTTAAATCACACTTCAAAAATTTTACAAAGATAAATAGCGAATGACAAAAAAGAGAAAAATATTTGCAGAATAAATGGTTTTTAATAAAGGATATACTTATCACATATCCAACTCTTATAAATCAAAAAGGCCAGTAAGCATTAAAATGCTAAAATTAAACCAAGAAATGTAAATTAAAATAGTAGTAAGAAAATGTTGGTAATTCAGTTGGCGAATATTGAAAGAAAGGTAACAGCAGTGATTTCTGTGGTGAAGGGAACCGTTAGCCCCTGCTAATAGGCATGTTAATTTGTACAATATTTCTGAAGGCAGTTGGGCAATAAATATCAATTTGGGGTTTTTTGGAGGAAACTCTTTTTTATTCATTTATTTTTAACTTTTTATATTGGAGTATAGCCAATTAACAATGTTGTGATAGTTTCAGGTAGGCAGCAAAGCAACTCAGCCATACACGTACACGTCTCCAATCTCTCCCAAACTCCCCTCCCATCCAGGCTGCCACATAACATTGAGCAGAGGACCCTGCACTGTACAGTAGGTCCTTGTTGGTTATGCATTTTAAATATAGCAGTGTTCTTTCAGCTTTTCTTGTTCAGCCTGTTTTTGTTTAACTCTAACACATTGCTGAGTTTATTTTTATCAGTTCATATTGCAAAATTTTAAACATTTAAGAAAAAATAAGGACTCAGGGACTATTCCTCTGAATTATTGTCTGCTGTTCCACTGCGTGTTTTTGTTCACTGAGGTATAGTTGACATAACAACATTATGTTTCAGGTATATAACACAGTGATTCACAGTTTTTAAAGTTTATATCCCATTTAGAGTTAGTATAAAATATTGACTGTATTCTTTGTGTTGTACAATATATTCTTGCAGCTTATTTATTTTTATAGCAGTTTGGACCTCTGAAACTCCTATGCTATCTTGCCCCTCCCCGCTTCCCTCGCCCGGCTGGTGACCACTAGTTTTTTCTCTTTATCTGTGAGTCTGTTGCTTTTTGTTGTTGTCGTTGTTATAGCCACTAATTCACTTTATTTTTTAGGTTCCACATCTAAGTGATATCATACAGTATTTGTCTTTCTCTGTCTGACTTATTTCATTTAGCATAACACTCTCCAAGTCTGTCCAAATCCCAGGGGCTTAAACAGTGAAGGTTGACTCTCTAACACTGCATGTCCCTCTCAGGCAGGTTGGAGGTCTGCTCTACATAACCCCCGCTCAGGGACGCGGGTGAGGGTCGCTCCTTCTCGTGCTCCGGTGATAGCTGGATTTGCTTGATTCTGCAGCAGCATCTTGTCTGTCCTGACAGATGCAAATTCCTCTGTGGTCAACTTGAATAGGTCCCCAGAGCTGTTCAATCCCTAATCCCTGGCATTTAGGAATGTGCTACCTTACCTGGCTAAAGGGTCTTTGCAGATGTCATTATGTCAAGGTTTCTGAGACAGGAAGATTAACCTGGATTATTCAGATATTATTATATGGGCTCAAAATAATCTCAGGGGTCCATGTAAGTGGGAGGAAGGAGGGTCAGGGTCATAAAATAGGTGATGTGACCACAGAGGTCGATAGAGGTTAGAAGAGGCTACCCTTCCAGTGTGAAGATGGGGGGTAGGCTGTGAACAAAGAAGGCAGGTGGTTTCTGCAAGCCAGAAAAGACAAAGAAATAGATTCTCCCATCAAGCCAACCCGTTTTAGATTTTAGACTTCCGATCTCCACAATTGTAAGAGAATGAATTTGTATTTAAGACACTAAGTTTGGGGTAATTTGTTACAGCAATAACAGGTAACTGATGCATCTCCTGATGATTTTTGTAAAACAAACAAGGCTTCAACAAGCCGCCTCCTCCACATCTCTGATGTATGTGGGTGTTCTTCAAATTTAGATTTTTAAACACAGGATGCCTCCTACAAGATTGTTTTCTTTTTAAAGTAGTGAAAATGAACTGCTGAAGAAAATGTCATTGAAAAGTTCTGGAATATCTTAAGATTAAATACACGATACTGCTCACTAATCCATCCCTCCCAGTTTAATGCATAAGTTCCAGGTAACTGCCATCCACTCTCCCCATGGAGAGAGTGGGCCACAGGAAGTGTTATAGACATTTTTGTTGAATCCGGCCCAGTTGTCAGGCCAGGATGGGGAGTCCTCAGACCTGGCCTTAAGGAGCTCACAGAGACAAGCCCCCCTTACTGAGAAGAGATGAGCCCGAGCTTCCCCCACCCCCACCCAGTACTTGTCCTGACAGCAGACATGCCTCCTCCCTTGCATTTAGATCCACAGCCACAGAAAATGGCAAGACAGTCACCTTGCAAGTGTCAGAGCCCCAATGTCACTTTGCATTTTGCTCCCCTGCACTTAACCCAGGAAGGGGTTAGGGAAAGCCACAAACCACCAGCACAATAAACAGTTCCCAACCTTTGTCCAGCCTGTCTGCACATTCCCTGCATTTGTGACTAAATCCTTTCCCTCTTTATTTTCTCCCCAGGAACCCGAGACGGAGCAGGCCTGTGGACCAGGCAGGATTCTTACGGCTGCTTTGATTGGTCAGGTCTGAGCTGGTCTCTCATTTTGGTCACAAAGGTTACCTACTTCCAGAAACAATCAATGGATCACTAATATATGCAGGCCTTAGTCTATGTGTCACTCCTTTTCAGGCTACAGGATGTGTTATAGACAGACTGCCAAGTCATTTAAAAGCCGTGAACATTCAAATCGCTTACATAGCCAAGCTCATGCTGGAACATACTAATTTCAAGCCTTTGTGCTCCTCCGATTCTTCATAAACTGCTAATAGGTATGTAGAGAGTGTAAAGGCAAGATTGGATGTCTTCCGTTTAGGACCACAGAAATAGAATGTCCAATAGAAGATGGGAAGATATCCTTACCTTCACAAGGACACCTACCTGTAGAGAGGCTCTGTGGGGACATGGGCTAGAAGTGAGATTTTTAAAGACACCTGTGGCTTTAGTGGGCCCTCAGCTTAGCCAACAAAAACTCTGGTCTAGACCAGCGCTCCCTGAATTCTCACCTAAAAGACAATCATTTCCAAAGGGGCAACTGGCACAGGTGGGAGGATTGAGAACAAGGGAAACACAGATGGAAAGGGAAAGAGCTCGTTATCAAGTCCTTTTCACCATTCACCTGGAGAGGATGAGAGGACAGAAAGTTTAGCAAAAGTCAAGCACTCATCAGAAATTCACTCTCAGAACTGACACCATACATGTTTATTATAAATTATACAGTGGTTTACTATATATTTATGTAGCTTCTCAGTGTAAATTTCCCATTTTGAGTTTCCAGCACACCCATTCCCATCTTCTAGTAACCGTACCCTGATATACAAGCAATCAATGTTCCACTCTCCATCCATGGGATTCAGAATATGTACCGTGTCTGAGTGGAGCATGTGACCTGGCCTGGCCAATCAGATGGCAGATCCTCCACACCAGAAGTGGTTCGGGATGAGCACAGGACAAGAGTTGGTCCGAGTAGAGTGACTCCTGTCCCTGGAAGGGGAGTGAGCAGGAGAGATGTTCTCTAGAGCAGGCACTGCTGGAAGTCCACCCAGTAGCTCCCCCACTCGTTATTCCAGCCAGCAAAGCCCAGCCCTCAGTCTAGAGGCAGAGAATATGTTACTTGCTTTCCCATCCTCCTTTTTTTTTTTTTTTTTTTTTTTTATGCTCATCAGTGGTTTTTTGTTTTGCAGGGCCCATCACCTTCGCTGCCTTTTTTTATCTGCTCCTCCGTCTTTGGGCTCTTTCGCTTTAGATTTTGAGGTGGAAGACCCCGTGCGGGGAGCTTCGCCATCGTTTGCTGGCGCGGTCTGCTGTCCGTCTGTTGCCTGGGTTTGCCGGTGCGGTGGTTGGTGGGTGCTTTTCTGCGGGGCCGCAGGCGGAGTGTTTGCTCTTTAGGCGCTGATGTGTTGTACTCCAGCTTTGGGGTGTGTTAGTTTTAGGGCGTGGGGGGTTGGTGCGAAGCCGCTTGCTCGCGTGGGGGCTTAGGCTTTCTTGGCGTGGGCTTCAGGCGCGTATTGTTTTTTCGGTTTTTCGGGCTGCGTGGATTCTTTGCTTTTCTTGGCGGGTTCGTGTCTGAGCGAGTCCTCTGCGCTGGTGCGATGGTTCACCGGGCTTGGCGTCCGTCCATCGGGTTGCTAGTGGTTGGCGTGCACGTTTTTGAACAGCCTAGGTTGGACGTTCCTTTTGTGTTGTATGCGCCATTTTCCTTGCTGTGGCGGGTGATGGTGGTGTGCTTGTGTTTCTTTTTTCTTTTTAAGGCACTTTGGTTTGTCTTGAGGTGACGCCTTCTCTTTTTTCGAGAGGACCTGTTTGGGGTCGGGCCCCTGGTCGGTGTGCGTTTTGTCTCGATTCTTGGCCAGGGCGTGGCTGTGTGCGATGGTTGGGGGGGCGTTGCGGGTGGTGTGCTTCCTGCGTTCTCCCTTGGTGGTTCGTTTTTGTGGGTTGCGCTGTTCCTTTTGTTTTTTGGTGCCGTTCTCTTGCTGCGCCGTGAGCGGGAAGAGCAGCAGCAGCGCGCAGGCCGGCGCCGGCACCGAGCCCAGAGACTCCTCCTCCAGGCCCAGGACGTCCTCGAAGCGCCACTGGCCGGCGACCCCCAGCCGGCTCAGCACTTTGTTCAGCATCTCGGGGTTAATCTCCATCGGTTTGAGCTGCATCTTGGCGGACCTCGAAAAGAACACAACCCAGAGAAGCGAGAAAACCCCCATCCTCCTTTGCAGCAAGTTGTGGGCACATGACCCCCGGGTTGTACAGTGATAAAGAGACTGCCTGCCAATGCAGGAGATGCAAGAGATGTGGGTTCTATCCCTGGATCAGGAGGATCCCTTGAAGTAGGAAATGACCACCCACTCCAGTGGTTCTTGTCTAGAAAATTCCATGGACAGAGGAGCCTGGTGGGTTATGGTCCATGGGGTCACAAAGAGTGAGACCCCATGTGACTGAGTACACACATATGTACACAGACCAAGTCCTAACCAGTGATCCAAGGGAGCATCTATTGTGGGGTGTGGGTGGGGAGGTAGAGAGGGTCCTGGAAAAGATTCGATCCTTCTGGAAAAAGAGATGTCCTTGACAGCACATTGCCTTACCTGCTTTCATTGGCTGCTGCTCTCGAATAAAGATACTTAGAGCCACAGCAGCTGTTGGGAGACTGTATCAGAAAGACTAACAGAAGCACACAAAAAAAATACACCCAGAACCTTCAATCCTGAGTTAGTCACTTGGAACTAACTTTAGTCTTCTTGTTCGGTATGTGGGTGGAGTTGGGTTGCGGGGGGGAACTAGTATTTAAGCCACTTTCTAGACAGGTGTTTCATTAGTCTAGTCAAATTATTTTAAGTACTAAAAATATGGATGATTCCAGAGCTACCATCCCAGAGAGCCCAAGAATGACACTCTTCCAAATGAGCTGAAATAAATGAAATCTCAATAACATTGTTTAAACCCCTGAATGCATTGGTACCTGGAGCTCTACCTGAGTTGTTCAGTTACATGAATCAAAACACTTTACTTTTGTTTAAATCCATGAGAGTTATGTTTGTCTTGTCATTTACTACATTGTTTTAAAACTATTGCATAACAAAGATACCATTATAAATTTAAAGATATATGCTCTCTAAAGATAAATGTTCTCTACAGTATTACGTATAACAGTGAAAGTAAATGAATAAATCAATACACAAAGAAATGGAAAATATCCACATAACTACAATGCAATCAAGTCAATTGTGGCCTATCCATTCTATATACAATTACACCATCATTTAAAAGAATAAGATAGGCCAGTATGTACTTACAGAGAATTATTTCCTAGATATCTATTTTGTGAAAAATTTAAGTAAACAGTAACATTTATATGTATGCATGTCTTACATACATACATATATATATTTGCATGTCTTACATACATACATATATATATTTGCATGCACATATTTATAGAGGTACATGCATAGGAATCAGTCTAGAAGAATTCATATGGAAATAATCAGTGTTTAGTATGAGAAGGGGGCTGGAATTGTGGGAAAGGAGAATATTTATACCCTGTAAACTTCCAAACTGTTTCAATTTCAATAAGAATGTGTTTTTATATTACTTGTGAAATTAAAACTAAAACCTGAAAAAAAAGTCTGAAATATCCACATTGCTGGAAGTTGGCTTTACTTAACACAAAACATTCCCTAACAAAGAAAGAAAACGGAAACGCAGGAAGCATGTGGGGCCTTTGGACGTGCAGCACAGAAGTGGAAAAACTCTGCTTGGCTTTCTGTCTTCTGTCTGCAGTCTCCACGCCCGGAGCTTGAAACCCACGAAGAAGACTGCTCCGGACTGCCTGTCGGGAGGCCCCCGGGTCCTCAGCCTCCCTGTCTCTGCTCCCTGCCAGCTGAGACCCAGCATCTTAGAGCAGGCGAACCTGCCTGTCTGTGAGCATCGTTGAGGCCCTCTCAGCCGCACACCGCTCCATCCAGCCCAGACTGACTTCTCTGAGGCTGTCTTTAAAGGAGTCGGGTCCACCATCGTTTCACCAGTCGGGTGACCAAGGGGAGTGAGCCTCCATCATTTTTGTCTCCCCCCCACCCTGGGGAGACAAGAAGCTGTTGTAGCCTGCTTCCTGGGCATAAAGATGCCACTCAAAACAGTATGATAATTCAGGACCAAACTCCAAACAAGCCAGGGACGTCCCACCTGCTCCCTGTTGGAGAATAGCACGTCGGCAGTGACGGCAGGGACTGCACGCACCTGGTGGCTGAGGAGAAGACTGCTCTGCCCTGAGCCTCAGCTGTCCTGTGTCTGAGGGGCAAGCTCCTTTCGTGTTCTGGTCGACAGAGTATCTCTCTTTGTCTCTCTTCGTCACTGGCCTGGCACCGGGCTCCAAGATAGGTAGAAAATGTGAGAGGAAGCGTATTCTACAGCATCTTGCAGCTGCCCGGCTTGTGGTCAGCTTGGGCTGCTGGGACAAAGCGCCAAGGGCAGGTGGCTTACAAACAGCAGACGCTTCTTTCTTGCAGTTCTGTCGGCTGAAGTCGGAGGTCAGGGAAGCAGCTCGGGCGAGATCTGCCACGAGCCCTCTTCCAGGGGTCAGACTGCTGACCTCTCCTGTGTCCTCACCTGGAGGGGGCCCCGGGGGGTCCAAGCTCACTCAGGATTCTAGGAGGGCACTGCCTCCATTCGTGAGGGCCCTGCTCGCATCACCTCCCCTAAGCCTAACCACCTCCCAGAGATGCCATTTGTTAGGGGTCGGGGTTCAACTTATGGATTTGGGGGGACACAAGCCTTCAGTCCGTAACTGCTTGCGATGTCATAGCCTTTTACTCTGAGGAGATGGAAGGCCATTAGCCACTCTGAGCTAGGAGTGGAGCCATATGACTCAGCCTTGGGGCCCGGTGAGGCGCAATCTGTAGGGAGCCAGGGAAGAACTAGGTGACCGGGAGGAGGCATCTACAAGAACCCAGTGGAGGCAGTGATGGTCAGGGCCACTGTGGCGCTGACAAGCAGACAGATTCTGGATCTGCCGGAAGGGGGAGCCTGCAGGATTTTCTGCCAGATTGGGGCCGGGGAGGGACCAAGAGAGGGCAGTGAGAGATGAGTGGCTCAGAGGCTCCCGGACGGAGCTTCTGGAAGGAGGACAGTTCAAGATGAAGATGTCCTGAGGAGGCGGCCAGCCGGTCACTGAGAAGTGTGAGCCCACCGCCCTCTCTGCCCCGTACTTTGATCATCTCTTCAGGCATCTCAAGACAGGGCCTGTACCCTCTGTCACCACGTGGTGTCACAACCAGGGCCTGGAAAATAGAGCAGTCACTCTGTGTCTGTGAAAGAAATTGAGGGTGCAGAGAGGTTGAGCAGACATATGGTGGATGCAATCAACCATAAAATTCTCAGTTTAAAAAAATAAGGAAGAAAAGAAAAGAAAATCAACCTTGAGTCAGATACATTTTTTTTAAAAAACCTGCTGTTATTATGGCTGTTTTGGACTAGCACTTGGCAATTTGGCATTATCCATTAAAACTAAGAGGCAGTGGTCTTCCCTAGAGGTCCAGGGGCTAAGACTCCATGCTCCCAATGCAGGGGGCAAGGTTCAATCCCTGGTCAGGGAACTAGATCACATACGCCGCAGTGAAGACTGAAGATCCCCAGTGCCACAACTAAAACCTGATGCAGCCAAATAAATAAATATTAAAAAAACAAAATAAAAAAACTAAGCAGTGAATCCCTCTGATCCAGCAAAGGCAGCCTGAGGAATCTAACTTGGGGAACACACACAGGAAGACGCTCATAGCAGACTTGTCTGTAAGAGGGAAAACTTGAGGACAACCCACATGCCTATTATCAAACAAGGCGGCAGTAACATTACAAAGGAATACTGCGCAGTGAACAAAAGTTAAAAACTGAGTGGTTTTAACTCGAATTTTGAAAACATGTCATTAAGAAAGAAATTGGGAAAGTGGTAAAGCATTTCTTTATATGCGAAACTCAGGGTTCAATCTGTTACACCTGCCTTCACTAAACAAGGTCGTTTTAAACCTTGCTTGTCCTCCAAGCTGCCGGTGACCTAAATAAGGTGTTTGCTCAAGATGTTTTCCAGGAACCTGGAGTCAGCTGTGTCTAGTCCAAGCTGAGCTGGTTGAGACTGGATGGGACCACTGGCCTTCCAGCTGGGCAGGCGCCAGTGTCTGTGCTCCGTGCCCTTTTGACCGTGCAGAGGCCTCCGGCCCAGCTCCTCCCGCACGGAACAGTGGGGAATTGCAGCTTTTTCTTATTTTCAATCCCCTCTCCCCACGGTCCCCGTGCACAGCCCGCCCTGCTGCTTTATTCCTTATCCCATAAATACCCCGGCTCTTCGCCCCTGGGTGTCCTCGCTTGGCTGCCTTGCGAGAACCTCCCCTCACTTTATTTACTTTATGTTATTTTGCTACAGACCTGGGTGACTCAGTATTTTGGCTTGCTGCACACCAAGTGAAATAAATGAACTTGGTTTGGTAAAATATGTAAAATCTACTCAAAAAATACCTGTTTTTTTTTTTAATTATATTTTTTAAATCAAAGCTGTAAAGGATTAGAGGCTGATAAAGAAAAACTGTAGATCCCTGCCCAGCCCCTCAGCGGATTTCTACTCTCCAGTAACAACAGTTTTCAGCAATTTGAGTGTTTCTGTGAGTGTTTACCCTGTCACTTGTTCCTACTAGTGAAACAAAATTGTGAAGGGGAAAGGGGGGGTTGGGATTGACATGTATACGCTACTCCGTATGAAAGCAATAACTAATGAGAATCTACGGGACAGCTCAGGGAAGTCTCCTCAGGGCTCTGTGGTGATCTAAGTGGGATATACATTTACATATAGCTGACTGACTTTGCTGTACAACAGAAATTAACAACTCTGTAAAGCAACTATGCTCCAATAAAAAATTTTTAAATGGCAAAAGAATCCTAAAGCAAAAAGAAAATTGTTCAGGATTTCATTCTCAGACCAGTCCTTCTCACGCTTCACCCTCCCCCGTCAACCTGGTAGAATCATATCATAAACCTCATAGGACATTAAAAAAAACATCCCAGATGAGCTGTGATGAGAAATTTAATTGCTTTTCTTTAAAAATTTTCTGGTTTATTTTCCCCCTCTATAATGAGTAATTACCTTGATCTTCTCCCGCTTCCTTAGCTTTCTATGTGCCAATCACTAATCTATCCCTAAATTCTCTGCCCTGCCTAAACCTACCTCTCAGAATGGTCACACCATCATGCAAGGGGCGGTTTATGTTATTCTTGGCCGCATCCTTCTGGGAACAGTTGAGCTCAAAACCTGCTTCAGAGCCATGACCCTGACTTTCCTCTGTGCTCCAGATCCATCCCGGGGCCTCTGGCCCCTCCCTTGGGAAGATCTCGCCCATCCTGGTCGAGGTGTCCCAGCATCCGCTTTCTTGCTCCACCCCTTGCTGGTGGAGCACAACCTCCTCCCATAGCTTCCTGAGAAAGGGCCCAGAGAGGAGGTCTGTGACCCTGCAGGTCCGAAAGGTCTTTATTCTGTCCTTGCCCTTGATGTGCACACTGCCTGTCATTCACCCTCCCTGTTGGGAGTAAATTTTCCAAGCTTAAAAGACTGTTTCATTCCAGGGAGGTGCTCTGTGTCCTTGGTCCTGAACTTGAGATCAACTCCCCCCCCTCTGGAGGCTTCTAGAGTTTTACTCTTTCTCCTGGACTTTTGTGAATTCACAATGATATTCCCAGGGCTACCATATTTTTTTTATTATTGGTCTAATTGCCTATCTTTAAAATTGTGAAAGTCGCTCAGTCTCGTCCAACTGTTTGCAACCCAATGGACTGCGTAGGCTGCCAGGCTCCAGTTCATGGAATTTTCCAAGCCAGAATACTGGAGTGGGTAGCTATTCCTTTCTCCAGGGGATCTTCCCAACCCAGGGATCAAGCCCAGGTCTCCTGCATTGCAGACAGATTCTTTACCATCTGAGCCACCAGGGAAGCCCTCTAAGCACTGTGAGGGTCTAGAAAGTAAAATAGAAGTTAATTTCAAAGTTCTTAAAAGGAAAAGAGGTTTTGAAAGACAGTTGAGTATAGTTTCTTACAAAACTAAACATATATGATCCAGCAGTTGTACTCCTTGCATTTACCCAAAAAGATTTGAAAACTTAAGTGCACATGAATGTTTACAGTAGATTTGTTCATAACTGCCAAACCCTGGAAGCAAGCAAAATACCCTCTAATAGTGAATGAATAAAAACTGTGGTACAGTCAGACAATGGAATATTATCAAACCATGAAAAGCCATGGAGGAACATTAAAAATATATATTGCTAAGTGAAAGAAGCTAGTCTGAAAAGGCTATGAACTGTATGATCCCAACTATATGACATCCTGGAAAAGATAAAAGCTGTGGAAAATGTAGATCTGAAGATCAATGGCTTCCAGCGTTTGGGGAGAGGGAGTGATGAGTAGGGAGAGCTCAGTGGATTTCTAGGGCAGTGAAACTATAATATTCTATAGAATACTGCAAGTGGATAGTGCTATTTTATGACTGTGAAAACCCACAGAATATACAACACAAAGAATGAACCTAATGTCAGCTATGGACCTCAGTGAACAATAACGTGCCAATATTGGGTCATCAGCTGTGACACGTTCCACATTAATGTCGTGGTTAATAGCAAGGAAAAGCAGAGGGAGGAGGAGATGAAGGGGGTATCTGGGAGCTCTCCATAATTTCTGCTCAATTTTTTTTTATAAAGCTAAAGCTGCTAAAAAAAAAAAAAAATCTATTAACGTAAAAATGGAAAAAAGATAAAAGGGGAAAGTTACCACCTGTATCCTTCTTTCTTCTTCTTTTATCTTTTTTGGTACAATAAGCAATGTTAGAGTGGCCAGACTCCCTGCCACCACCACCTCCCGGGGTCAGTCCTGGGACCCTGAGCCACGGTGCTGATCGGGAACTCTGGAGCTGTCCCTCCAACCCCACAGGGCTTGTCAGGAGACGCTCACAGCCACAGGCATGTCCCCCAGGCAGCCTGAGACAGGACAGGTCTTTGTCCCCACCCTGCGTGGCCTCGGTGACCCTTTTCAGGTCCCCCTTTGTGACTCCAGAGGGGCTGTCACAGAAAGAGCCCCTCACACCGCAGGACTGGCAGGACCCTTCCTGCCTCAGGAAAAAAATCCTCATTTCATCTTCACTTGACCAGGGCCGGGACCCTTGGGGAGACCAGGAGTCAGTGAACAGGCCAGCTGCTGTTGGCCTTGAAACCACAATGCCTCCCCCATCTGTGATCTGCGTCCAGCAGGCCTTGGCCCGGTGCACAGACAGCCCTGGGGAGCCGGTGTCCTGGACCAGATGCAGCCAGCCTGGTGTGACTCTCTTTACGAGAGCTAGGCCTGAAAGTAAATATCTGAGTGTGGGGATAGACCCTTGCTTGCTTTGGATCCTACCTGCAACTGGTCTGTGCAGAGTTGCTGAGACTGGAATGATTAAAATGAGGGCAGGCCTCTGACTCTGGGCCATTTGCACGAGGGCAAAGGTCCTCACGGAGACAATCACTTTGTAGATGCTTTATCACATTTACTGGGTGTGCTCCAAGAACTAAACTCTGTGCTTTCAGTCTGTCCGCATTCCTGCATCATCCTCTCATTCTACACAATAGGTTATTTCTCTCAAAGACAAGTCTGCGAGCATGCTAAGTCACTCCATTCATGTCTGACTCTTTGTGACCCTGTGGACAGTAGCCCATCGGGCTCCTCTGTCCATTGGGTTCTCCAGGCAAGAATACTGGCGTGGGTTGCCGTGCCCTCCTCCAGGGCATCCTCCTGACCCAGGGATCAAACCTTCATCTCTTACATCTCCTGCACTGGCATCCAGGTTCTTTACCACTAGCACCACCTGGAAAGCCCCAAAGACAGTCTAGGGCTTAATAAAAATGCAGCTTCTCAACTCTCACCCCTAAATATTGATGTCGGGCACAGGGCATCAGACATTTCCACTAGCTCCTCGAGTGATTTAAAAGCACATCTAACTAACTTTGACACAGTTCACATAGCTGAGAAGTATCTGTGTTTCTCTGCAGATGAGAATAAGACTGGTCCTTCTCTTTGGGAATGTAATTCATTTATATTTAATGTAACCACATGATTTAAGTCTATTTTCTTACTATTTGTTTTCTATGTGTATCATTCTTTCCTTTCCTGCCTCCTTTCATATTGTTGTTATTCTATTTAGTAAATTTCAATTCAATCATTTATTTTGATGCCTTCACTATAGTTTTAATGCATATATTAGGGAATAGAACATATATCCTTAATCTATGATAGTCTGACATTAGAACCTTATCACTTCCCAAAGAATGAAGACCTTTAGAATACAGTAATTCCACTTAACATCCCTCTGGATATTTATGTCATCACTGGCATATAATTTGGGGGGCTTCCCTGGTGGCTCAGTGGTGAAGAATCCACCTACCAATGCAGGAGATTTGGGTTGGATCCCTGGGTCAGGAAGATCCCCTGGAGGAGGAAATGACACCCCACTCCAATACTCTTGCCTGGAAAATCCCATGGACAGAGGAACCTGGTCGGCTATAATCCATGGGGTCCCAAAGAGTCAGACACAACTTAGCACATCATGTAATTTAATTCTGCATATATCATAAACCCAGCAGGACATTGTTATTATTACTCTTTTGTGTGCTCAATAAATCTGCCCACATAGGATCATTTCTATTGCTCTTTATTCTTTCATGCATTTCTGCTCTTTCATTTAGAACCATTTTCACTCTGTCTAAACTCCCTTCAGGGTTTATTTTAGGGCATAATTGCCGGTAAAAGAATTCTCTCAGTTTTTGCTTCTCTGAAAATGCCTCTATATCAGTTTCACTTTCAAAGTATATTTTTGATGGTTATAAAATTGTGAATTGGTAGTTGATTTCCTTCTGCTCTTTAATTACCTTCTAACCCTATGGTTCTCAATAGAGAAGTAGCTATTTACTGTTTTTCCTATGAGGGAGATGTATGGTTTTCCTCTGGGAGATGTACGGTTTTCCTCTGGCTGTGTTTAAGATTCCCTCTTTGTTTTCAGCTGGTGGCAGTTTCATTAGAATGTAATTAAGTGTATTATTTCCTTGTTTTTATTATGCTGGGAGTTCTTGAATCTGCAGCTTGGTATATTTTACCATCTTTGGGGAAAAAAACTTCAGTATCTCTTCATATTCTGCAATATATTCCCTTTCCTCTCTTTTAAAAACTTCAATTATACATATTTTAGACCTTTTCACCATATTCCATATTTTCTAATTTTCTCCCATATTACAAATGTTTTTTCCTATGCTTCAGGATGAAGATTTTCAACAGATCTATTTTCTTCCTTGTCTAAATTGCTGTCATACCAATCTCTGTTTTTAATTTTACTTTTATTTTTCAATTTTAGACTGTTCATCTGATTCTTCTTAAATTGTATTTCTCTAATAAGATACTCCAACTGTACATCTTTCTAATTAGCATATTAATAGCAATTATTTCAAAGTTTGTCTCCAATCACATCAAACCTACTTATCTTCAGGGCTTTCCCTGTTGTCTGTTTTTTCATTGCTTGGTTTTTGGTCATTGGCTCTGCTCCTGTTATGTCTGGCAACTTTGTATGAAAGCTGGATACCTTATTTGAAAAATTTACTGTCTCTTGATGATGTTATCTTTTCCTAAACAGTATATTCTTCCAACAGCCACTGTGGGAGGGGCAGATTTCTGTAATCAAATCTGGGATTAAGGTCATTTCCAGTCTTAATTGGGTCTGGCTTATTTTGGTTTGACCTTACTCCCAGTCATTTGAGAGTCTCAGCTGAAAGACTTGTATGTTTTCCAGGACCCCTGTTTTTGAGCCTGGACCTCTAATATTTGCTGTTAACGACAACATGACATTGGGGAGCCCTCTGCTTATTGAGCTTCTCTGCAGCCCACCCTCTGCTTGGTTTCTGAGCATCTCATTCTGTGCTGCACCAGTTCAGTTCAGTCGCTCAGTCCTGTCCGACTCTTTGCAACCCCATGAACTGCAGCATGCCAAGCCTCCCTGTCCATCACCAACTCCCGGAGTTTACTCAAACTCATGTCCATCGAGTCGGTGATGCCATCTAGCCATCTCATCCTCTGTCATCCCCTTCTCCTCCTGCCCCTATTCCCTCCCAGCATCAGGGTCTTTTCAATGAATCAGCTCTTCACATCAGGTGGCCAAAGTATTGGAGTTTCAGCTTCAGCATCAGTCTTTCCAAAAAACACCCAGGACTGATCTCCTTTAGGATGGACTGATAGGATCTCCTTGCAGTCCAAGGGACTCTCAAGAGTCCTCTCCAACACCACAGTTCAAAAGCATCAATTCTTTGGTGCTCAACTTTCTTCACAGTCCAAATCTCACATCCATACATGACCACTGGAAAAACCATAGCCTTGACCAGACAGACCTTTGTTGGCAAAGTAATGTCTCTGCTTTTTAATATGCTGTCTAGGTTGGTCATAACTTTCCTTCCAAGGAGCAAGCGTCTTTTAATTTCATGGCTATAATCACCATCTGCAGTGATTTTGGAGCCCCCAAAAATAAAATCTGACACTATTTCCCCTCTTTCCCCATCTATTTCCCATGAAGTGTTGGGATCAGATGCCATGATCTTAGTTTTCTGAATGTTGAGCTTTAAGACAACTTTTTCACTCTCCTCTTTCACTTTCATCAAGAGGCTTTTTAGTTCCTCTTCACTTTCTGCATAAGGGTGGTGTTATCTGCATATCTGAGGTTATTGATATTTCTCCTGGCAATCTTGACTCCAGCTTGTGCATCTTCCAGCCCAGCGTTTCTCATGATGTACTCTGCATATAAGTTAAATAAGCAGGGTGACAATATACAGCCTTGACGTACTCCTTTTCCTATTTGGAACCAATCTGTTGTTCCATGTCCAGTTCTAACTGTTGCTTCCTGACCTGCATACAGGTTTCTCAAGAGGCAGGTCAGGTGGTCTGGTATGCCCATCTCTTTCAGAATTTTCAACAGTTTATTATGATCCACACAGTCAAAGACTTTGGCATAGTCAATAAAGCAGAAATAGATGTTTTTCTGGAACTCTCTTGCCTTTTCAATGACCCAGCAGATGTTGGCAATTTGATCTCTGGTTCCTTGGCCTTTTCTAAATCCAGTTTGGACATCTGGAAGTTCATGGTTCACGTACTGCTGAAGCCTGGCTTGGAGAATTTTGAGCATTACTTTGCTAGCATGTGAGATGAGTGCAATTGTGCAGTAGTTTGAGCATTCTTTGTCAATGCCTTTTTTTGAGATTGGAATGAAAACTGACGTCCTGTGGCCACTGCTGAGTTTCCTGAATTTGCTGGCATATTGAGTGCAGCACTTTCACAGCATCATCTTTTAGGATTTGAAATAGCTCAACTGGAATTCCATTACCTCCACTAACTGTGTTTGTCATGATGCTTCCTAAGGCCCACTTGATTTCACATTCCAGGATGTCTGGCTCTAGGTGAGAGATCACAACATCGTGATTATCTGGGTCATGAAGATCTTTTTTGTACAGATCTTCTGTGTATTCTTGCCACCTCTTCTTAATGTCTTCTGCTGCTGCTAGGTCCATACCATTTCTGTCCTTTATCGAACCCATCTTTGCATGAAATATTCCCTTGGTATCTCTAATTTTCTTGAAATGATCTCTATTCTTTCCCATTCTGTTGTTTTCCCCTAGTTCTTTGCATTGATCTCTGAGGAAGGCTTTCTCATCTCTCTTTGCTATTCTTTGGAACTCTGCATTCAGATGGGAATATCTTTCCTTTTCTCCTTTGCCTTTCGCTTCTCTTCTCTTCACAGCTATTTGTAAGGCCTCCTCAGACAGCCATTTTGCTTTGTTGCATTTCGTTTCCTTGGAGATGGTCTTGATCCCTGCCTCCTGTACAATGTCAGGAACCTCTGTCCATAGTTCTTCAGCACTTTGTCTATCAGATCTAGTCCCTTGAATCTATTTCTCACTTCCACTGTATAATCATAAGG